CCCACTCAAACTCCCCTCCTCATCATCATCCTCATCCCTCCCCAACCCAACAAAACCCACCCTAAACACCCCCTCACACCACTCCGCAAAAGTATCCACATCCCAAACCTCATCCTCCCTCCCCTTTCCCTTCTTACTCACAAAATTCCCCCTCCTCCTCTCCGCATCAACATACATCTCCCAAAACTCCTCATAAACCTGAATAACCCGATCCTGCACCGCCCCCACCAGCGTCTCCCTCATCCGTCCATCATCCAAATACTCCCCCAACACCTTCCTCAAACTCGCCACCTCCCTCTCCACATTCCCGCACAACGTATCCATCAAGCCCCCAGCAGAGGGAAGATTTCCAGATGATGTCCTAGCCGGCAACGACGCCGTCATCTTCCCCGCCGCAAACTCATTAATGAATTCGTTAATCACGGTGCGGAGACGTCCGTCGAGTTCGACCTTCGCGTCGAGCATGTTCTCCACGACACGGGGGAGGAGGCCATGCCCCACTAATTTGAAGAGGTTGCGTGGGTTGAAGAGACCCCCGCGTGAGCGCAGCTCGTAGAAGGTGGAGGTCATGGCGGAGAAGTCGAGGGTGGTTTCGGGCGTGGTGTATTCGATGTCGAAGGCGACGATTTGTTGTTTGAGGATTAGGAGGTGGCTGAGGAGGAAGAGGTGCGCGTCTGTAGGGGTGGTTTTTGTGCGTAGGAGGGTGCTGGCGCTGTGGAGAGAGGTTGTGGTTTGGTGCACGATTTGGTGGGCGAGGTCGTCGAAGACGGTGGACTGGTTGGTTTGAGTTAGTTATTTGTTGTTGGGGAGTAAGATGGGGGAATGGGAGGGGATGTACATTGACGAGGCGGTAGATTCGGCTAAGGAGCCAGATGGCTTTGCGGAGGGTTGGGTACCAGCCGCTTTGGTCTTGGGTTGTTGGGGACTCGAGGTCCCATTTTGTAGCGGCGGTGGTAGTGGTGTCTTCGGGGGATGTTGATGATGGGTCGCTGTCGTTGCTGGGTTTGGTTGTTGGTTTGGGTCGGGTTGGGAGTGTCGTTGTGGTGGTGGTGTCTGTGGAGGTGATCTTGCGGCCGCTGATTTGGCCTTCGGTGACGGATATGGAGAATTGCTTGTTGCGGGCTGGGTAGTCGAGGTCTTCGGGGCGAGGTTTGTAGCGTTCGATTTCGTCGCGGAGGAAGGCTTGCGCGCGGAAGACGAGGCGGGTTTGGACGTCTTCGAGCGCGGGTTGGATCAGCGCTGGGAAGTCGAGCTGGTTGGCGTCGACCTGTTGCTCGATCTCCTCGTCCTGGTCGAGCAGGTATCGGGTTTGTAGGAGGGTGCAGAGCTGGCAGAGCTTGACGATCTTGTCTTCGTGGATGATGCGCGGTCTGAGGTGATCGTAGAGCGGTTCGCAGATGGTTTCTAGGAAGTCGTAGAGTCCGCCGTAGCCGTGAAACCATTCGCCCCAAAGTTCGAACTCGTCAAGGCATACGCCGCGGATGTAGCTGATGCTGGCGCGGGCGAAGGAGACGAGGTCCTGAGATGATGTCGGAGATTGCGCGAGGTCGTTGAGGTTCTTGTACACGAGTGGGATGATCAGTTTCCCGCGTGTGGCTGCGTAGTTCGCATGGAGCTCGTTGAGCAAGCTTTGGTATTCGGCTTCGGTGCCCTGGTCGGGATCTAGAGGCGGGACAGCTCGTTTCTGAATCTCGAGTCCGATCTGCTTCAGTTCTGGTGCACCGACTCGGAACTTGGCGTAGAGCAGCGTGGACATGGTTGTGTCGTTGAGCTGCTTATCTGCGATCTTCTTCGACGCATCGGCGTATACATCGCGGAGGGAGGACACAAAGTGGGTTCTGATCAAGGTGAGGGCACGGGTCATGAGTAAACGGTACCGGGAGCGGTATACACCAGCTTCCTTTTGATCGGGCTGCGAAATAGGACCCATTAGCTAGAAAGCGATAGACATTGTGATGTATACTGACATGTGTCTCCATGTAATCCAGGCATTCGTCGAGACGCCGTAGCATATCCGAGAATTCCTTCCCACGGACTGTATTACCAGCCCCGGGGGCATTCAGTCTCCTCGACGCAGGATCCAAGAAGTCATAATACTGGAGGTTCTCCTGAATATCCTCCGCCAAATCCGAGTCATGCTTCTGCGCAGAGAGCAGCCCCTCACATTGTTTCCGAAATTGAGAGGTCTGCGATTCCACGGCTCTAAAGTCGTTCGAGAGGCTAGTCAAAAGATCGAGGGTCGACGACGTATCTGTCAACAAGGAATCGAGATGGGACTTGGACATTTGAAGCTCCTGGAGACAAGCTCTAAGAACAGATTGATGTCAGCATAGACCAGGGGCTCTGTGGGGGGTGGACCGCGGATGGGCGTACTGGTACTCATCGTAGCTAGCTTCCAGCAGGCTCTCCTCTACTTCATTGTACCATTGCGCAAATTCTAGCTCGTTGCGAATATCGGTAACTGAGTCCACACCATCCGGGATTGTCTCGAGTTCGGTGGCCTCTTTGACCTTCTGTTCCAAAGCCCGGCCCGACGGGGCAGTTTGGCGTCGACTTCGCTGTCCTGCAGCTTTTTGACGCATTGTGGGGAATTCTTCAGTGTTGAAAAGATGTGCCTTACAGCCTCTGCATCAAAGCCCCCATAAATCCAAGGTAAGCAATCCCTATCAAACCCAGAGCCCAGGCGCAGGGAAAGACAGAGGAGCAATGAATCCGGCGTGGCTTCAATGCGCTATTCTGCCGTTGTCTTCCGCCTACGCGACTTGACGCAACATCCAGCTGATGTTTTGCCTCTTTCTCATTGATCGATCAAGATCCGCTCGGGAATAAACAAGAATATTGGATCTTAACTTCAGTCTCGGCGTGCGAAACCATTAAGCACTGCCAAACATCATGTGGACTCATCGGGGGCGGCAATCGGTGACCACCGTCGTCACCAACTCTTCACGTCGCCTTGTGAGAAACAACCGATCTATCGCCACGCCCTGGCGCAGATCTTATGCCAGCAGTAACAAGGGGCCGGAGCCATCGGCTAACTCGAACTGGCTCCGGAACTCTTTGGGCGTGGCGGGAGCAGGCACTGCTGCCGTTTTCATTTACGAATATGCTACATCCAACCGGAATCCGATTGAGAAGCCAGTGGAGAAGGTGAAAGACCTCGCTAAATCCGCCGAGGAACTGAGCTCGCAGTACGTACAGCACAAGCGGAGTGTTAAGAGTCCCGGTGTCTATGTCTGGGGCAATAACGCCTATCGTGTGGTTGATCCGGAATCCAAGGAGTCCGTGGTGAAGACTCCCCGGAAATTTGCCTACTTTGAAGGTCAAGTGCTCAGAGACCTCAAGCTCGGAGAGAGGTCCGGCGCAGCCATTACGGAGAACGGCGACCTGGTCCAATGGGGCAAGGGCTATTCAGAGACTGAATTCAAGCCCACAAAGACTCTTACCGGCAAGAATCTGGCTTCGTTGTGCATGTCCAACGATCGAATCCTCGCGTTGTCCTCGGACGGCAATGTCTACTCACTACCTATTGCCAAGGAGGACCAGCTGGGTGGTCGCAAGACCAAGGAAGGGTCATGGGTGCCTTTCCGGTCGGGAACATCCAGTATTAGCTACCGCTTGCTGCAGCCGACATTGAAGCTGGGCGAGCGTGTGACCGCTCTCGCCAGCGGACTCGACCATGCTCTACTCTTGACCAGCTCCGGCCGGGTGTTCTCCGTTGCTGCTTCTACTGAGAATTACCCTTCGTTTGGACAGCTTGGTATCCCCGGCTTGACCTGGGCTACTCGCCCCAAGGGGCCGGTGGATGCCCTTCACGAGATTACTGCACTCAAGGGCTCCAAGATCGTCCAGATTGCTGCGGGCGATTACCACTCGCTCGCTCTTGACAAGGACGGCAATGTGTTCGCTTTTGGCGACAACTCTTTCGGACAGTTGGCGATGGAGTTCAACCCGTCCTCACCTTTCTGCGATACCCCGACTCTGGTGCCCATCAGGAACCTCTACCGCGGTCCCTGGTTGCCCAAGGCCACTCGGGTTGCGGCCGGAGGTGCCAACAGCTTCTTCACCGTGGATGCGCAGCGCATACTCAGCTCCAAGGAGGACCCTGCCACCCTCCGTGACCTGGGACGCATCACTGCGGATACCTGGGCTTGCGGACGGGGCATCTGGGGAGCTCTGGGTACCGGCAAATGGACCCACGTACAGGATTCGCTTGCCAAGGTGAAGGCACTGAGTGGTCTTTCCGAATTCGACGAGAAGACCAACCGCCTGACGCCCATCCGCATCCATGATCTGTCAGTCGGCACGACCCATGTCTCCGCGGTCATGAACAACAGCACCCATGTGGATTCAGCTCCCTCCAGCACCTTGAACGATACTCGTGACTGGGGATACGATGCGCTCTGGTGGGGAGGCAACGAGCACTTCCAGCTGGGCACAGGCAAGCGCAGTAACCTGTCCAAGCCGAACTACATCCACGCCCCGCCGGAGGAGGCAGACGAGCAGCAGGAAGCACGCCTCCAGATCATGCCTCGTCATAAGGGCAAGGTTGATCGTCGCACGGTGAGCATGGAGCAGCGCGTGGTATGTGGACGACACATCTCTGCCATCTATTCTTCCGTATAATTTGACCGCCCTCTTTTCCATGTATAATGAACCATAATTGGTGCTATGACCATGTATATTAGCTATATTTTCTAGGCGTGTTATGAGGTGATTGGGGTCGAAAAAGTCGTTATCAGGGCATGTAATACCAACCTATCAGCACACAGCTGGAATTCAATGCAAATCTCATACGCTACATAGTACTAGGGTCTTTTGTCTGGAAGTGTGAATGGTTCCTGAACGGCCATCAGTGCCGAACCTCCACCAAAGACTGGGTCATGATGTCGAATACCCGGAAAATGTCATCACTTCAGTGGATCCTCTCGTCTTCCGCCTGCCCTTCCGATTGACTTTTGACAGCCACAATGGCTGCTCCATGAGCTGCTTTTTCTCTACATTTCCTTGAGATTTCCCCTTTAATATCGTTGTCGCATCGCCGTGTATAGTCTCTCTCCTTTGTCCACCTCCCAATATCTCGTCTGTATCTCTCGATCCCTCCTCATCTCCTCCAATCTCTCTCACCCCGCATCCAATGGCTTCTGCCCCGCCGGCCAGTCGCGCCGATGAAATACAAAATGTGAGTCACACTCTTTTTCCACTCCTGACGAGCTGGCGCATATTCCTCAACCCTAGCTCCTGAGTCCTGTGTGCCACTGGCATCAACCTATCCTCCAATCCGCACCATACTGACCGCATTGACTGCTCTACAGCTTCTGAAAGCCGTCGAGGATCTCCTGATTCCGTTCATCCGAAGCGCCGATGAGGACCCTTTAGCCCAGCAATCGCTGCACAACGGCACCAATGGCGACTCCAAGCCTCGAGGCACGGCCCTCGTCGAACACAAGAAGCCCGAAGAGCTGCAGAAGCTCCTCCAACTAGACTTCCCCGACCAAGGAACCGGACAAGACGGACTCATCGAAGTCCTGCGCAAGGTTCTGCGCTACTCGGTCAACACATGGCACCAGGGATTCCTCGACAAGCTTTATGCATCAACCAACGCCCCCGGCGTAGCGTCGGAGCTTATCCTGGCGGCGCTCAACACCAACGTCCACGTCTACCAGGTCTCCCCAGCCCTGACCGTCATTGAGAAACACACCGGCAAGCAACTCGCCACTCTCTTCGGCCTCAATGGCCCCCGCGCCGGAGGCATCTCCGTCCAAGGAGGCTCCGCCTCCAACACCACCTCGATCGTGATCGCGCGCAACAACCTCTACCCCAGCACCAAGAAAGACGGCAATGGCAACTACCGCTTCGTGCTCTTCACCAGCGCCCACGGCCACTACAGCATCGAAAAGGCCGCCCAAATGCTCGGTCTCGGCAGCTCCTCCGTCTGGGCCGTCCCCATCGACAAACAAGGCCGCATGATCCCCTCCGAGCTCGAAGCCCTCGTCCAAAAGGCCCTCGCCGAGAACCGCACTCCCTTCTACGTCAATGCCACCGCCGGCACAACCGTCCTGGGCTCCTTCGACCCCTTCCACGAAATCGCCGCCATCTGCAAGAAATACAACCTGTGGTTCCACGTCGACGGCTCCTGGGGCGGGTCCTTCATCTTCTCCTCCTCCCAACGCGCCAAACTCTCCGGTGCCGAAAAAGCAGACAGCATCGCCATCAACCCCCACAAAATGCTCGGCGTCCCCGTCACCTGCTCCTTCCTCCTCGCCGCCGACATCCGTCGCTTCCATCTCGCCAACACCCTCCCCGCCGGCTACCTCTTCCACAACGACGACACCGCCGCCGCTGCACCAGACTCCCTCAACGGCGAGACCGAACTCGTCGTCGACTCCCCGGAGGTCTGGGACCTCGCGGACCTCACCCTCCAATGCGGCCGTCGCGCAGACTCCCTCAAGCTCTTCCTCAGCTGGACCTACTACGGCACGGCTGGGTACGAGCAACAAATCGACTCCGCCTGCGCCGTAGCAGCGCACCTCGCTACGCTGGTCGAACAGAACCCCAACTTCGTCCTCGTCAGCGAGAACCCACCGCCGTGTCTGCAGGTGTGCTTCCATTATGCGCCGAACCGTGCGTACGTGCATCCCCGCGGACTGGTCTCGAATGAGACGGAGCGCGGGAAGGCGAATAGTAAGGTCACGGAGCAGATTACGCATGCGATTGTGGGTAAGGGATTCATGGTGGACTTTGCTCCGCCGAGTGGGGATGAGGATGCTGTCGGGAATGGGAAGTTCTTCCGGTGTGTGGTGAATGTTCAGACGACGAGGGAGACGGTTGAGGGGTTGATTCGGGCGATTGAGGAAGTTGGGCCGGCGATTGTGGAGAGGTTGAAGAGGGAGAGTGTCGGGGAGGTGTCGACGAGGAGGTTGGGGGAGAGGGGTCATGGTCCTGTTGTGCATCATTGAGGGGTGGGTTTGGTTGGTATGTGTAATATTTGGATATATTTTGGGATGTTTTTGTAGAAACAAAAGTCTGGGCTATAGATGGGATGGTATGAATATAGAGGGTACATACACATACATACAGGGTGGGTATATAGCGAGGAATACAGTGAATGAGATGATGAGCTTATATTTGAATGCACAGTGGATTGTAACAGTGGATATCTCATGCTTCTACTAATTACTACTACCATCATCCATATATACACCCCCGGTGTACTCTCTCAACTAATTACCAATCTCCGCCCGTCTCTCAAGCACGCTTCTCGCCTCCGCCTCTGTCAAACTCTCGATCCCCAGTTCTGCAAGCACAACCCGCGCGCTCTCATTATCCTTGAAGAGTCGCTTCTCAACCTCCCATAGCCCGGGGCGTGTGTCTCCCTCGACTTCTGAGTCCTCCGTGGTAGTGGTAGTCTTCGCATCAGCCGAATTCTCCAGTCCCAACAGAACAAGACCCTCCGCTAGTTTCTTCATGTTCTTGATAGAACTGCCAGCTGTTGGCTGCCCTGCTCCGCTTCCTAGTGCAGTGTCAACGACACTGCAGAGATGTTCGACGTCGCTGATAAATTGCGAGGCGCCGGACGCGGAGAAAGTGTTCCTTGTGAGCACGCTGCTCCAGAAGTAGGTCTGGATGGCGAGGAGGACCTGGCGCATGATGCGGCGGAGTGGGGCGACGCCCAGTGCGCGGGAGAGGAAGGTGATTTCGGTGGAGAGGGTGCGCATGGCTGGGGCAAGGTCGGAAGTGGGAGGGAGAGGAGTAGTGGTGTTACTCGTGGAGATGGAAGCCCAGGTGGAGACGCGGGAATAGGGTTTCAAAGCAGAGCGCACGTTTGAAGTGAGGGTGGAGGTGATGATGGATTCTGAACGGAGGCGAAGACGGCGGTATGCGGAGGCGGTCTCGTCGAAGAGAGCGCCATCTGTTGAGGATGCAGCGGTGCTTTGGCCGTGGTTGTTGTTCACGGCTTGGGAGGTGCGGGATGCGACGTCTGCGATGGACATGGTGCCCGCTACGTTCTTGCCGCCGTCTTTGTTTTGTCGGACGCGGTCTTGGAGCTCAGTCCAGAGTTCGACAAAGAATACTTCGTTGCTCCAGTCTTCCATCTTCTTCTCGAGGTATTCCGCGCTGCCGAAGACTCGGCACAGTCGTTCGAGCCCGGCCACGCCTTCGATGCTGGCGGCATCGGCGCCTTGGACGGTGCGGCCAATGGCGGAGGTCATGGCGAGGTAGGCTTCGAGTGCAGAGTGCAGGCGTTCGTGGAATTGGTCGAAGATGGTGATTTGGATGTCGATGAGGAAGCGCAGCTTCTGGCTGAATGAAGACAAGGGCTGGTAGCGCTCCGTTATTGTCTCGAGAAGATCGTTCACCCGGATTGCAGCCTTAGTGGGCTTGGTAGAAGTGAGATCGACGCCTTCATAGTCGATGTGGCCGCTATCCGGGGTGTCGACGATCTCCTTGTAGCGGGCCAATGCGAATTCCTTTTCGACCTGAAGCCAGCGGTCAAACCAGCCTTGCTTGGTCAGGACTTCCCAAGTCATTCCCCGCCAGTCGTCGGTGGAGTAAGGGTCCGGTAGGTAGTTCCACGACTCGCGAACTTCGTTGTCAAAGTTCATCAATTCATGCATGAAATGACTCAAGAGTTGCGGGTGGTTCGAGATCTGAGGCAGAAACGTGGTTATCTTATGGTTCAGCACTGGCAAGAGCGCTGTGATGTAAGCGTGGGAGGCATTGTAGAAGTTCCACCCTATATCAGTGCCGACATTCTGCGCCTCTTGGTCGAAGATGGGTTGGAGGAACGAGGCGAAGAATCCTCCAAAATTGTTGATCAGGTCCATAACATGAGCCAGGAAATACTCGGGCTGCCTTGAGTTAGAAACTAGTCTTCGTTGCTGCAAACAATGTACGTACCTTGTCAAGCCTATTTGTCGGCTTGTCTCCGCTGAAATGGTACTTGAAGCGCAGTTCGAGCGGATGCACCATGACTTCCAATGGTAGTAGAACTGGCGGCTCGGCGCCATGGCGTTTCGACACAGAGGTATGAGACTCGAGCTCCCTATAGATGACTGGTTACACCCAAGCATTAAAGTTGACCTTGATGCCACGTACGGTTTCTGCAGGCCCAGAAGCAGTTCCACATTCTCCCTCCACTGTGCCTGTATATCCTCCGGAAAGTTTAGTTCTTTCGAGGGCCACTTCATCTGCTCCATCGTTCCTTGTAGTCGTTGGGCGAAGTTTGATTTCATTTGCTCCCTGAGGGCGGACGATAGCTTCCCCACGTAGTCGACCAGGTGAGGGGCAGCCCCTTCTGCAGCTGGCTGAGCATCTTTGAGGGACTGGGCAACGTTGCGTAGTCGGGTATACGACTGAATCGCGATACGCGGTTGATCTTTGATGTTGTTCAAGGCCTCCTTGCTGTTTTCAAGATCAGCGACCGTTGTCTTGCCTAACATGTTACTATTCCATACCTCAGCTCTTCCGCCTCCTTGAGCAAAGTCATATAGCCCCTCGAGATCTCAAGCCTCCGCAGCTTCTCTATACTCGCTTCAAAGCGCTTCGCTGCCTCTTCGCTAGAATCCGACCCCGTGAGTCCTTTCAAGCGCCGATTGATATCGGCCTGTTGCTCGTTGAATGCTTCGGCTTGCTTTCGAGTGGCTTCGGCATGATCTTCGGAGGCTTTTGTAGCATTCGATAGCGCTTCGTGGGCTTCTGCTAGCTTCACATTCAGCTGTCAGCAAGTGTTTTCGAATGTCTGCTATTGATCTGGGGATGGGAATACGCTCTACCTGCTTGCGTTGGAGCTCATGTTGGGCTCGGAGACTCGAGAGCAACGAGTCGAGACTTTCCAAGTCGGCAGTTACCTGCAGTTTGTCATTTAGATAATCCTCAACCCGTGTCCTCTCATGCGACGACAGAGCAGAAGCTGGAGTCGCCATTGTTGATAAGCTGGCAGGGGAGAAACACGGGGAGAAGGACGAGGTGTCGCTAACTCCGCCTTGGGCATTTCCGCCCTTTGCTCCAGCTCATCTTCCGCCTCCACCGCAAGTAACGTCACTTCCGCCCGCATCACAGCCACTATGGAGCGCGCGGGATGGGCAATGTCGCACGCCATTGTCCTACATCGTACTCCTAGATGAATGGTTGAATGAACGAATGAATGAATTATACATACCTTCAACATGTCCAGTCCAGCTAAGAAGCGCAAGAGGGATGATCCCGCATCTGCCTCGCAGCGCACCCGGAGCATAGCGTCATTCTTCCAGGGCCAGGCTGCTAAGCAAGCCGAGAGGACGCAGCAGGAATTTGAAGCTGTGCCCGAAGCTCCCACGGAACAAACTCTTTCGGACGAAGCGCTTGCGCGTAAGCTGCAGGCTGAATGGGACCAGGAGCATGCGCTCTCAAACCCGCAGGCCGACACGCCTAGCGATGAGCTTACTTCGGCGCAATCAAACACCGGCGATAACGATCGGGAAGCGACCAACGTGCAAAAGAAGGGCGTCCTGTCATTGCAGTCATCCACAGGTACGGAAGACACTGTGTCTCTCGCGGTTCCTTTCGATCAGAGTCCTATCGCGTTCGATGCCTCCAAATATGCGCGCGAGCTGCAAGGACACTGGGCTTCGGACGGCGGCGACGCTTCGTACGCCCTCTTGACCAGAGCTTTTGTGCTCGCAAACGCCACAACTAGTCGCATCAAAATCGTCGATACATTGGTCAATTTTCTCCGCGTGTTGATCGAAGCCGACCCGTCCAGTGTGCTTCCCGCTGTATGGCTTGCGACTAATTCGATATCCCCTCCATACGACGAACTGGAGCTTGGGCTTGGCGGGTCCTCGATATCAAAAGCACTCAAGAAGGTATACGGACTAAACAGCCAAGGTCTCAAAACTCTATATGACAAGCACGGCGATGCTGGCGATGTGGCATTCGAGGCCAAGAAGAGACAGTCTTTCACGTTGATGAAGCCCAAACCGCTTCGAATTAAAGGTGTCTATCAGTCGCTCAAGAAGATAGCTATGAGCAAAGGGAGTGGAAGTCAGGAGACAAAGCAAAGGATCGTCGAGAAACTTCTGCAAGATGCCCGTGGTGCGGAGGAGAGTCGATACATTGTTAGAACTCTGGTGCAGAATCTCCGCATCGGCGCTGTCAAAACTACCATGCTCATTGCACTTGCTAGGGCATTCCTGTACTCCAAACCAGAGGGGGCGGAATTTCCAATTTACTCTCAAAAGGAAATGGCGCAGATGAAGAAAGAGGAATTAGCTGAAATCTACGGCAACGCAGAAGAGGTCGTTAAGGCGTCATATGCGAGACATCCGGACTACGATGACCTCGTTCCCTGCTTGCTTGAAGTCGGGGCTACCGATGAACTTCTCGTTCGCTGCGGTCTTCAACTGCACATTCCGTTGAGACCCATGCTAGGCAGCATCACAAGAGATCTGTCAGACATGCTGACGAAGCTACAAGGGCGCGACTTCAGCTGCGAATACAAATATGATGGCCAGCGTGCGCAAGTGCATTGCGACGTACAGGGCAAAGTATCAATATTCTCCCGCCACTTGGAGAACATGACAGAGAAATACCCAGACCTGGTGTCTCTTGTCCCAGAAATAAGAGGAGAAGGCGTATCGAGCTTCATCCTCGAAGGGGAGGTTGTCGCCGTTGACCAAGAAACAGGCGAACTACAGGCATTCCAAATCCTAACCAACCGTGCGAAAAAGAACGTCGATATCGGAGCAATCAAGGTCAACGTGTGTCTATTTGCCTTCGACCTAATGTACCTAAATGGCCAGCCACTGCTCGACCGATCACTCCGCGAGCGGAGAGAGCTGCTACGGAGTTTATTCGTGGAGATCCCCAAACGGTTCACATGGGTGAAGAGTCTAGACGCCACTTCAGCCGACTCCGAAGCAGTACTAGAGTTTTTCAAGAGCGCCACAGACACCAAATGCGAAGGCATCATGGTGAA